AATTTTTGATACACGAATTATTACGTACTACACATGAATGCGACGGATAATTGTAATGCATTTTTGGATGCAAAATGTTATCAGCAACATTTTCATCTCCTATTGTCCCAGTCAGCTTCTGAAATATAATGTAAAATGAGGTAAATTTCTAATACATTACAGAAGATCTTGCGTATTATATTTATATATTTATTATTGCTATTTACCTCTTTTGGTTTTGGAGATAGCTGAAGTTCCATTTTTGAATTGGACGATTGTGTGGTCTTTTTTTTAGGTGTTAATAATATTTTATCTGTTATAGATTTCAAATTTTTGGTCAGATGAGACTCTGCGCCTTTTATGTACATTCCAACTGGCGATATTACGTGATCGTAATTTCCTATTTGTCGATAAATGTTCTTCGCTTGAGGACTTACATGCTTGTTTTGTTTATTCATTTTCGGTAGTAAACTGGGAAAATACGTGCGTTTCGGTTTACAATTCTTGTTAACAGGTGTCTTTCCAGGAGTTATAAATAATCTTGGCTTTGTAACAACCGCTTTTTTTGTCGACGAAGGACTAATACTCTTCTTTCTCGGTGAAGGCTTCGGTACTTGTGAAGTTTGCTCATCCTCTAATACGACTGACAGCGCGCAAGTATTAAAATCTTTTTTGGGCGTTTTCTCGGCTTGGACATCTTGTCTGTCACAAGGAGTGCGAGGACTGCTCAATCTCGTTCGATGAAATAAATTGAGCAAAGATTTGTACTTTTCCAAATCATCCTGATATTTCTTTACACTCATGAGAGTTTTCATTAATTTATCATCGACATCAATCGAAGAATCATTGATATTCGGATGAACTTCTTTCGTTGGCGTGAAATTTTCATCAATTTCCATCACTATCTTTGCTGTGTCGAGACACCTCTGTCTTTTTTTTGCGATCTCATACATGACCGTACTCTCAAAATCGTTCGGTTCGATTATTTCTTGATGCTTACCATGTTTTGTTTGCTGCTTAAGTATATCAAGTACTGCCTCCGAATCCATTCTATCGTACTTTTCATTTAGTAATAATCTATATTCCAGACTCTCTTCAGGTAATTTATTGTGTTGATATGTTGACTCCGAAGTACACGTTCCAGCTTTTTTTATCTGCTCGTGAATGATAGGTGAATTCTCCAAAGAGGCCATTTGGTTTTCACAAGTACGCAAGATATTAGCCATATTTTGTAAAGGAGACTGTAACAGATTCTTCTCCCTTGAGACAGTATAGTCATTATCAGGAAATAATTGTTTGCACATCACTTCTAAGCTTTCAAACGTATTTGTATCGTTCAATAAATTTTTCGGAACATAGGAAGTATTTTTTGACATACGCCAACACGCTTTCTTGGGGCTTTTAGTATTACATTGGGAAGAAACAGACGTTGTAAAATGTAGGCCTTTATCAGGAGATAAAGTACTTAGAGATTTTCGCAAGAGATCATTAGGCTCTTGGCTTTTTCTTTTCGTGCAAATTGGTGTCGACATGCCAGGAGACTCTGGCCATTCAGGGATGGTCTCGTCCTCTAAAAATTTACGCATCTTTCGAAGTTCTTCGTTAAATCTAAATAAACTGAGTTCTGGATAATGTGACTGTGCGTGAGAATCGTTATTTATAACAGATTCTTCGATTATCGTTAGTAAATTTTCTGTAAAAACTTTTGGTGCGTCGTGGTAATCTACAGATAAACGCCTTAGCAAACGTTGTTGCACAGCTGTTTCTTTCACTAACTTTTGATCTGCCAATGACTGTAGCAATGCTTTTAACTCAAAAGGACTAAGTTCGTCTTTGGAACTCATTTCGCTATTTGAATCATGCTGATTTTCTTTTGAAGAATCATCTTTTCTGTTTAATAAAGCAGAATGTTTTGATAATGATAATGCTTCAAAAGAAGGAACGATTATTTCAACTTCCTTGTGACTTGTTTTTTTCATTGTATTTTTAGTAGGAGAAGAAAGTCGGTCACCTTTAATATTGTAATTCCTATCCCTCCTCAAAGCTTTATCAAGCACAGTGTAACTTTTTGATCTTTTAAGTTCTCGATTAAGTATTATATTTCTCAGTGACTCTGCTGACATAGAACGTGGACGATTAAGGTCCTGTTGTCCCATAAACTTTTTATTTAAATTACAAAAATTAATGTCTTGGCTGACATTAGTTTCAGAGAGTGTAGGACTTAATTGTTTTTTAGCACCATCATATTCATTATTCAGGTATTCATTATTAAATAAATTTATACATTTATTCAAGTCTGGTTTGATTGACAAATATGATGTTCCATCTGATACAATCAATGTATCATCCATCAACAAAGGATATCTGTTTTTATATGCTATATTATACCTTTCCTCAGCAATATTGCACGAATCTGAGATAAATTGCTGATTGGTTGAACTACCGGCTAGAATTACAGACTCAACACAAGATGTATTCTCCGAGCAGCTATGTTTATGAAATTCATCTGATACCTGATTTGATTCATCCTTATTTATTGTTTGATCTGTAAACATACATATTCATATATAGTATCTTCTATTTAATGTCAAATAAATCGACTAGTATTGTTATATCTTTATTATGTGCAAAGAATGGAGTGCAAACAAAGATAAAATAATTGTGTCGACTTATGTCACTAAATGAAAGATGCCCACAAAACTTTATACATTTAAATTTGAACATATTATAAAACTATAATATAATAAGATTTATATAAACATTAATATTTATTGGCAAGAATAGTGTAACATAACGATTGTTAGGTCTGTTTTTTTCCATACATTAGGACTAAAGCTCTTACAGAATTCATCTTTTTTCTTTTTCTTTTAATATTGGAGAGAAAAAGACAAAACACAAACTGTAAAAAAATTCATTCCTGAGATATGGAAAAAGAACAAATTTATTATACTATTATTATTTACCAATGGTAAATGAGGATGAAATAATTCATTTGTGTTACACTATCTTTGCTGAAAAACAAAGATTTAAAAATTAAACATTTTACTGAACATTTTTTTGCAGTAAATACATGTGGTCATTGATGCCTTTTCATTTTTATATAGTATATCTGTATATTATGTAAAAATAGAAAGGTATTAAAGACCACATATGTATATACACAATATTTAATTACATATACAATGTATACAGCCTTGATAAAAAATATTGGGCACTTACTAGTATTTAAAGTTTTAGATAAAAATTTATGGTATTTGCTATAAATTATCCTTGGTTTCAAGAATCCTTTAAGCCTATTCTACAATGTGCTCTTTGTTTCCTGTTTTGTTTTTTACCTTTTGTTTTTTTTCCTTTGTAACTATTTTATCGACAATTGTATTTCTTGCTACATATTTCTTGTTTCTTTCGAAGTTCGTTAACTTTTATCGAGCAATATAAAACAAAAAACCGGATAAAAAGTAAAAAAACAAGATGTAAATAATAGCAAAAAGCAAGAAACAGGAAACAAAAAGCACATTGTAAAACAGACTTTAAACTTGTGTATAATACCAGTAACCAATAAGTAACAAAGCAAATAAAAGAATTCTAGAAGAATGGAAAAAAATAAGTGCCTAAAATTTTTAATCAAAATAATAGGATTATGTGTAGAACTACAATAGATTTCACTTATAAACGTTGACTATAAGCACAATATAAAGCAAGAAAACATTATCGTACTTACGAAAACTATTTAAGGAATCTTCAAAATTATGAGCACGTCTCCGTCGATTGTTCATTTTAATTTCTTGGAAAATGTCTGCTACATACAACAGTAATAATGTGAGAACAGAGCAATTCGCTCGAAAAGTCAAGAATTCAAGAGAATGTGACACCCATAACGGCTCAAGCACGCTTACATTCTATTGAAACTGAACCTGTTTTCGAATGGTCAGTGATACCAACATATTCGGTCACGTGATAATGTAATTAAGAGGTTGGTTCCATAAACATAGCTGGCGGTACACGATGCTTGTTTTCCTACTGGATTGCTAGGTGGATTAAAATCTTGTCACCGTATTGGCTGCGATGCTGGCACTGACAGCATGCAATATGTCTATGATTTGTTCACATTAGGTAGGTCTGTTTGACTTGCTTACACTGTTTACACTCAGCATTTTCGCTTTTTCTCTTTTCAGAGCCAAATATATATCTAGCTCATTTTAAGTGTAAAAAGCGTAAGCAAGTCGAACAGACCAATTGCTTGAAACTGCAACAATATTTACACTTAAAATAGGATAGATATATATATTCACGCGTTGAAGAAAGAGAACGAAGATGCTAAGTGCAAAAAGTGCAAACAACGCGACAGATTTATTAACTAAACTAAACAATATATACATACATACATATGGTAGAAGAAACTCAAGTGTGCTCTTGCACATACATTTCTAACAGCCAATGAAAACGTGACACCATATTCCTCCATGTTGTCGCAGTTATTCGAATTAGACGCTGTGCTATTATTCTTTTATTTGACTCATTTTTAATTATTTGCTTACAATATATAATATATTGAATTTGATTTTATTTTTTGTCATAATAAAAACTGATTTTCTACAAACTTCTTCCCACTTCAGTATTAACGCTTTCTGTTTTAGGAAGCAATAAAAATATATATTTCTGAATTATTCTTTTCGATGATAATTTTTACATATATATTTATTTGGTAAATGCTCATTTTGATCTCTTGAGCTATTACTTTAAAATTACTGCGGTGCAGCAAATGTTTAAATAGTTAATTAATTTAATTAATGATCCCGTTTACACATTTAATATCCCAGCAAACGAAAATGGATTGAAATGAATTAAAATGAATTCAGATTTTCAGAAATATTGATTCACGAATGTTAAAATAAATGCTTTTCAATCCTAAATGCATTTTTATTCATTTATAAGAATTGCATGGAGCATATCTGAATGCCTTTCAATCTAAAAATAATATTAGCTTTTTTGTGCGTTGTGAATACTGTTCAATTCAAAATTTTGAATAGAACATGCAATTTTTTAATCCAATTGAATCTAATTGAATCCAATTGAATCCAATTAAATTAAAAAAAAAAGTATTTGCTATTTAAAATACGCATTCGGATAGAAAAAAATTTCAATTTATTTTATTCCATTCTCGTTTGCTGGGATGCATACTAACCAATAACTTTCTATTACATTATTTTAATTTCAATATATTATTTTAATTATAATACGCGTATCAAGTGCTCAATGTAAATTAGGTCAATATATTATTGGATCTTGCTTTTAGTTCTTTGCTGAATCTAAACATAGGAATCACAATCATGATAAAGAATGACTTAGCGCTCACTAATTAGTTTTCTCTGCTAAATGCAGTCAATGTAGAAAATCGCTGTTTCTCAAGAATGAAGAGAAAACATTATTTTCAAAATAATTAATTAGAGAACAGAAATACATATATATCCATATATTATTTGTATATTTGACGATCTGACTGAAAACTGAACACGTCCACTCTCACTTGTGAATTCATGTAAATAAGAACAGAACATTATTAGCTACAATCGGTATTGTCTAACTGTGTCAAAATATATATTCCATTTTTCGAGTAATTACGACACGTGATATACAATATATAATTTTCTTGGCACTTCAAATATCCACAATAAGTTAAAAAAAATTGTATAAACGTTTTTATAATTGTTTTATAATTGTTATTCTACTAAATTGTACTCTTTGAGGATGCTTGTACTCTTTTAGAATCTACCTGTTGTAAGAACGAAATGCTCTTGGGATTTTGTCGATATATTATAACTTCTCCAACATCGGCATTAAGAGAATCTTAAAGTGAAGTTCAAACTCCAACGAGATTGTCGTTTACAAAAAATATGTGACACATCGACACATCTTTATATAATATAATATCTCCACATACATATACATATATAAATTTTTATATAACGATAACGTTTTAATTAGATGTCTAAATCTAATTCTAAGAACTCGATATTTATTCATATAAATTATTAGTCTGGATCACAATTTCGTAAGTACAGATTGCAAAGTTTTTATATCAAGTAAATATTGACAATTCTGGCGCCATATTGGAGTAAGAAATGGTAAAGAGGATCTTAATTTAAATTATTTTTTTTGTTCAACATAATCTCTACCTCACAGACATGTATAAATACATATACTTCAATATTGAAAAAAAATTTCAAATCTGTAAAAAAGGTAAAAAGTAATTATTATACAAAATTTATTACGTTTAGTCGATGATACAGACAACTCAAAGATCCCATTAAGGGGATATTAAAATGAAGCTCGAATTTCGATAAGATTGCTGTTTTAACCGATAAAAAATGCGACACGTCGACATATCTTTATGTGCTATTACATCAATATCGCACTCATACGTACAAACTTTCTAACTAATCTTTCGTATTAAGTAAAATGTCTAAACCTAATTCTAAGTACTCAATATTGGTTATTCATGTAATCTCTAGACTCTAGTCCAAATCAAGATTGTTTTATAGATACGAAGTATAAAACTCGTATATAAAGCAATCATTATTACGAGTCGACGTTAAAAGTCAGTAATAAAAAGTCAGTAACTGTAATTTTCCATGTTTTTTTCATTTTTGACATAAAGTCGATCGGTTTGGACTACATTATCATTCACTAAGCGCTAACTGATTAATTTTTCCTGCTGAACGCAGTCATTGTTTTATACAAAGCACGATTAATATCATATTTTTCAAACAGAATAATTCAAAAGTAACAAAAGCAAGGTGTCATTTTTTTTTTTTATATAATATTATGTACACTGCGCAAATTTTGTGTAAAATAAAGTTATTATAAACTGATCATCGTTTATTATTGAAATATCTACACAATTGAAATATCTAAATCATTAGATTAAAATATGTAAATCATGTGCGCGTAACGAATCTAAGAAATAAATCAACAAAGTCTATTTAAAAAAAATGCAACGAATAGATTATTTTACTTATTTCGTAATATACGTTAATATTTCAACGGTTAGACGGTTGTCGCGCTGACTTTGAGATTTTAATTGGTGGAACAAACAGCGCAATGTTTAACGCAGACATTCCCTTATCGAAGTGCAGGTAGATAAAAATAATATCGTACATCTTTGTCCTGAATTTCTAAAATGTGACATATGTATTTATCTAAGAACATATTACTTAGATACTCGTAAATGAAATTACAAAGCAATAAGAATAAAAATCTAGAATCAACGTTTTAAAAAAATTTGATCCAACGCTTAGAATTGTCATTTAGATTTAACTTTTAACAGTAATTTCTTGAGAAAGTAACATTTATATTGCAGGAGCAAATCCCACTCGGTAACTTTCCATGTCAAACTCGACATAGTAACGATGAAGAAATACATTACCGAAAATCCACATTGCTTCCATATTCTCACTCTTAAAAGCGCTTATACACTTTGGCTTATTGATTTGTTTGAGCTATAACAAATTGATTGCGACATGATATTTCTACTCTAAAACATTTTGAAACGTTATTTGACGATAAATACCTTAATAATATAATCTTCACCTTTGAGTTCGAATAGTTTACCACCTAAGAAGAAATAGATGTAGGGCAAATTAGAAATCTTTTCGCAGTCCACCTTTAAACAAAATTTGATGTTAATAAACCATATTAGTGTATAATCAATAATATATCAAATATTATCTAATATATTTTAGTAATGTATATATTATTGTTAAAAAATAGCTGCTATTGCAATAAGTGTCATTATTTACAATCATTTCTCCCTCACTATAAGTAGCCCCGATTAGTCTATGAATATTTGCAATATCTGGTGACGGTCCAGTTATCTTGAGCGTGAGCGTATCGAAAACAGCTTGACAGCCATCCATGCATAAAACTGCATCTTCTATTTCAATTCTACGGCGTTATTAACGATTAGTTGACATAATTTGTAGCTAACATGCATATAATTTAAAAAATAATTACGTACTGGTCTACAGTAAATTTCCAGACTGTTTCACGGATCACGTCAACGTACGTTAATTTGCCTTTGTAAAGCTTTCTACCAGCTAAGCCACCCAATATCAGTTTATTATTCGGTTTGGAGGGATTCCTGTATAGATTTTGTATTTTTTAATATGAAAACACAATATTTTTATAATATAGAAAGGCAAATTTTCTAATATGAGGGGATAAATCGTTTATGAAAAATAATTTTGGAAAAGGGGCACATACGGAAAAATACATGCCGTTTTAAATAGAAGCCAAAAACAGGTCGTGACAACAGTCCTAGTTCAACCATATTTTTAAAAACAAGAGACATTTGGGAAAATCTGTGTATTGAGGAGAAACCCATTCCCAAGATACCATCGAATTCTACATTGTCGAATCGAATCATTTCGATTGCATATACTTCTCCGAATGTTTGATTTGAAACTGTAGTTCCAGCAATCTATAAAAAATTAATGTGATTGTAGTATATTTTTACACTAAAATTGAAGCTAAATATAACTGTTTGCTTAACGATGACTCACATTTACTACATCAGTAGAGAAGTATCCCGTTATGTTATCCTTATTTTCATATATAATACTGAAAGATTCATTATTTGATATATATGTGCTGGATTTAGTGTGATCGTATCTATTATGTAACGCTATAAGAAAAATCGTATATTAAAGCAATATTAAATTAATATTAAAAAAAATAGAAATATTAATATTGGGAATTATCAAAGATTCATTAGATATAAGTTTAATATAAAAAAAATTTATTATAAGGCTTTAGAATTTTAAGTTTTAATATTGATTTTTACATTTAATATTGTTAAATAATTTAATTTTTAAATCTAATCTTACTTTAATGTTATAAAAAAGTAACGAAAAAAGTAACTTTACTTTCCAAGTAACGATAACAATAACGCATTACTTTTTGAAGTCATTTTAGTAACGTGTTACTTTTATGAAGTTTTTCAACTATGTATTATGATATATTTTAACTTACAACAAATATTAGAACTGCATTTTCTTGATGGTACCCAGAAATTTGGGAAAGTAATGTCGATAAGTACATTAAGCTTTTGTGGTGGAGTTCCAATTGTGATAATGCCATAATATGCATTATTTCCATCATAATGCAAAGGTAGCGTTATAACTCCAGCATGTTTAGTTGAATTCTGTCGACGATCGCTGAAAAACAACCTTCGAGTGAAGTTTATCTTATATGACGGAATTCTTGAAGCAACAAATAAATTCAATATTATATTGTATATGTCTCACATGTACACATATATACGAATATACGAATGTTATACAACATACACAAATTTCGGATAAATTAATTCATGATCTTAAAACACTTCTTATTTTTAAAAATTATTGAAACCTCAACATTTTGGTATTAAGAAATAAATATTACTTGCATTTATCTATTTACGCATTACATGCTGTTTACTTATTTTAAATCAGAATTTCTTCTTTCATGATAAAAAAATTGAAAGTGTAAACCCTAATAAGATTCTTAAAAGCATTTCTCTACTTGCTTCACTTTGACATGTGTTTGACATTTTTCTACAGATTTGTTCTAATCATTGAGGTATTTATTTGGAATCGTTTATATGTGTTCACCTTCGCAGTTCCGCGTTGATTAGCACGGAAAGTATTACGATCCCCACGAAAAGTCGAAACATGTTTCCCAAATTTCCTGATTAAAGTCAGAAAAATTAAAAATATTTTAGAGCTATTGTAATTCTTACTCTTTCGAATTTAGTCACACTTAAAACACACAAAAAAAGGACACAGTCGGATATTAATGCTCACGCTGATATTTATATGTGAGCTTGTGTTATGAGAGAAAGTAAAGGACGATAGAGCGCGCAAAGCGTTCTGAAAGTGATCCTAACAATTTAATCCAGAGATCTTTTAATAAGATTCTGGAACACGAAATAGTCACTTTTGATTAATCTGCCATGTTTTTAAGTACTTAATTTTGAAATAATAAATTATATAAAAAATATGATTCTAATAATTTACAAAATACAAAGAGATATGTTTATTGATGTGAGAGAAAATTATCCCATTCGAATCTTACATTTTTCATTTGAATTGCTCATTTCTGCATGCTTTGAGATGAGATTCAGCAACGAATCGTTCGAATCGTTAAAAATACGTATATGGCATTGAATTTTATCGGTTTAATAATCAATTTCGTAATTTTCAGGTTTATTTTTAAATTAAAAATTTGTTCTTTATATTATATAATGTTTATATTAAAAAATTTATTCTAATTTTATCATATTCAAAACATTTGAAATTAAAACGTTATTGACTTAAAGATTTTTTTAATTTAGATTTATTTTTAGTCAAATATTTATATTTACATTATTTATATAGCTATTGAACATTACAATTATATTTATACAGCTATTAAATAATATATATATGTTTATTAACACTTGTTATCTATATTTTACTATTGCGTATTAAATTTATACATGCATATTTTATTTTGATTCTGCACTTTACTAAACTCACCGACGAGATACTATCAAAGACCGACATCTTTACGTTTGCGTTCTTGTGAATATTGAAGTAATCAAGAGTTAAAAACTGATAATATTGTACTAATTTTATGACTTATTAGTTTAGTAGACGTGTTTATGCATTTAGAATTCAATAATACTCGATTTTTCTTTAAAATTATAATTTCAGTGTTATCATCAAAGTTTGATTATTAACAGAGATGATAACTGCAGAGAAAAAATTGTAATTTTTCTGCAATATATAGGATATTATAGCTTTACAAGTATGCATATTTATTTATGAAACATTTATGTAATAAAAAATCATGAATTTAATAATAATGTATGAGCCAAATATTAATGTAACATATTTAATATATGAGCAAATTTATATCAATTGTCGATAATGTCAGCATTCTTCAATTTATCATTACCTTCGGGCCCTTGGGGCCCTTTTTATATCGCCGAAAATTTGCCTAGGGTTGACAGTTTTTAATAGTATCTCGTCGGTGGTAAACCTAATAAAATATAACATACGTCACATTCCATTTCTCCCTTTCTTTCTGTTTTATCATCGTAACGTGACTTCGTGTTTCGATTTTTTGCCATTTCACTGGCGGGGGCATGCGTGATGTTTGCTATGCGAGTCTTTTTGTTTATCTTACGGAAAAGATAGGAAGAGCAGGAGTAACTAATTCATAGTTATATAATCAAAGTAATCATCCAATTGACAGCAGTTAACAGATTTCTTTGCGATTGTCAGATGATATTCCATTTATTTGTGATTTGATAAAGACGAGTCAAGTTCGAATCGCGTTTTAAAAGCACATGGGATAGAAGATACGACAACGAATGAGTATTTTGATCTCGGGAAAGATTCAAATACGGAACTATAACCTCAATTTACTACATGAATTCGTATCAACAGGTAATAAATACCGGCTCTCAACCGCCTACTGTGTACGATCAAAAATATGTAGATTTCGTGGATAACATACTGAAGGAAGTAGCCGATGATTTTGAGAGAGAGAAAAAATGTATGTAACACATCACGCCGTTTAATAACTTGATACAAATCTGTTTCTTATTCTTTTCTTCAATTTATACATGAAAAGAAAGCGTATGCACGAGTTCTAAGCTTACTATGTTCTCTCAAAAATTATCACGAATATAAATACCAAAAGAAATAAAAACCAAAAGAATAATGAAAATCCTGGTGGAAAAATTTGTCCGAATGTGTCCGAAATCGTTCAAAATATTTCCGAAAATTGTCGAAATATACAAATTCGGATAATTACACATAAAGTGAGATACTTTCCATCAAATTTCGATAATACTGTTTAAATTTGTTAGAATTTGTCATTTTTGTATTTTTCGGAATCTGACAAATTTTTTCCACCAGGAAAGAGATTTAAAATTAAATAGACAAAATCTGTAACTAATAAATACATAACAAATTTTCTTTATTTTTGCCGTTTTTTTAATTTTATTTGAGATAAAGATTACATATGGCCATAAAAGTGTGTTAAAATAAAAGCATTAATTTTCTTAATTAATTCTGATTTTTTACTTTTTATTTTCTTAAATTTTTTTCCTTATTTTTGAAAAATTATTAATAGTATTTAATAATTTTCAAATGAAATAAAAACTTATTAAGTATACGTATTTATAATCTATTCGGCAATAAAGTGATAAATACTTTCAGTCTCCGATCAAAATCTATTGAAACTACACAAGCTGTTTGATGGAGTATTTGAAAGAGCCTTAGATTTGTACGAGCAACAACGAGTGACACAAATTTCTACATCTAATACGATTATAACAGAGTCATGCAAAAGTGCTAATGAGGCCATCTGGTTAATGCAAGTTAAAGGACATTCTGGAGCATTGTACACACTTTTTCCAGAAATAAATTATTGTACTTGTGCTGCTTTCAGGTATAATATTCTATATAAATAAATTATCTGTTCAAAAGATAGAGCAATTATGTTTTTTTGAAATTTTACATGTATAAGAGGAAATATCTCTTGCACATATAATACAAGATATCATGAAAAGTTCTTATAAAAGCTCTTACAATATTACAGACATCAGGTACTAACAGATCGGTCTGCTTTTACATGTAAACATGTTTTGGCAACTTGGCTAGCCAGTATTGACATTGAGAAGCTGTTACATCAACAACTAACACAAAAGCAGTTCGATAATTTATTGTTATATCAGGTTTCAAACAAATATGACACCCTCTAATATAGAAGATTACGTTTTACTTGCAAAAGTGGGATTGAAAAATCTAGAAATTATAATAGAATTATTAAAAGCTATCAACTTTAAAGAGGTACTTACAGGATGTGTACTTATGTTAAAATATATTTGTGTTTTTCTATAATGATAAAAATGGTATAATGTATGGTTATTATTTAGATAGCTACTTGCCTCGGTAGTGAAAATGGATTGAAAATCACAGTTGAGGATGCAAAATGTATACAGGCCAGTGCATATATCCCATCTACAGTTTTTGATGAATTTGAATTAAAAGAAGATGTGACGTTTTCATTAAATCTGAACATATTAGTGGATTGTCTTTGTATGTTCTGGCCTACTTCACAAGAAGATTCCGTTACAATGCAAATATTTTACAAAGTAAACGAAAAATGTGTCATTTCAGTATAAAACCAGGATAATTCTCATCTATTTTTAAAGGCCGAAACAAAAAACATTAATAAATTCTTACATTTTTCTGAGTTATAAAGCCTGCTTTTTTTAGCTTTTATTATTCATTTTGTCTTTTTTTTAATGTAGAAAGAAAAAGAGAAAAATTGAACAATGCAAGAAATTCAACTGAAAAGGAAAAATTTATACTAAAGGAGCGAGTTTAAAAATGGCCAATTTTAGCCGTGAACGGACACCTATAAAACCTCAAGAATAATTAAAGAAGTCATATTACATAAAAAATTTAGAATTCCAAAAAATGGAGGTGACTTTCATGTAATCTTAAAAAAATCAATTTATTTCGAACATTGATCTGTTCCCGTTACAACTTTGATCTGAAATATTTTTGTCTAACGGGTTCAGTTTTCGATATATTTCGGTGTTTTATTAATTTTAAATAGGATATCCCATATATTTATGGGGATCTCCCTGGTAGTATTGTTACAGTCATTTAATAGTCCCACATGTGTTAAATGTAAATACATCATTAGTTTTGAAATCTAACGTTCATTAGAAATAAAATGAGTTTTTTTATAAAGCGTTCAAACAATCTATTTTCTTATTTTTAGAAAATTTCCCAAATTTTCCTGGGTAAATAAACTTTTATTTATAAATGTATGGGGACTTTCAAGATGATAACTGCATAGATTTCCGTTCACAGGTGTTTATTCATAGTTTGTTGATTATTTTTAAATTTTCTTTTTTGAAAAAAAAAATACAATTCAAAATGCAAGTCACACATGCATTCAAAATGCATGTCACACTATTTAATCGTAACATTAAAGCAACGATATCATTTTTTTATTGCTGTAACAATATTGATATCATAATTATTCATTGTAGGGTACAGGCTATCCTCTAACTATTATCATTGAAGAAAATGGGATCATAACAGACTGCTCGTTAAAAACTTTAGAAGTAAAGGAATTGTTAGATTTCCATCTTGATACAGAAAACGTTGTAAATAAAGTAGTATTGCAAACAAAATTATTGAAGTCTATCATGGCTGAATTAGATCCAACCAGTCGACTACTCGAGGTATAATGAGCGATTTCAACTCGAGCTTTAAAATACCTAGAAATTTATTTTTGGCTCCAACGTCTCTTTGAAATATGACACTTTCATGTTTTAGTTACATTTATCGCCGGAAGAACCCTTTTTCAGAATTAGTTTGCAAGGTATAGGCAGCGTTTGCGACATCGACTTACCACATGATGATGATGATTTAATAGACACATTTCAATGTACGAAAACGGTTACATCCACTTTTAAATTAGAGCATATTATACTGGCAATGAAAGCGTTATCATGTGCGAATAAGATTTCCCTAAGAACTAATGACGCCGGTCTATTGTGTTTTCAATACATGATTAAAACCGAAGATGGAAACACATGTTACATGGAATATTACGTAAGATTTTTTATAATTGAACAATCAAATATAAACAATCAGATTATCATCGTAATATTAATTTAGTACTAAGTAGTTTTCATAACTGTATTTTGTATAATCTTATATTTTGTAATACATTAATATAATATCTGATATATACGATAAAAATTTCTTATATTTCGTTTACAGATCTCTCCATTGATTGGAAATTTGGAATGATCAACAGTGGTGATATAAACATATTAATCAAAAATAAAATATATTCAGATGCCCAAATATAAAATGCCCAAGTATAAAAATTACTTTAATAAATACTTAAATATTTTTTCTACATATTTTCATTGATACTTTTTTTTATTTTTAAAAATATGTTTAATATTTTAGATTTGCTTTTTAAATAAGAAGTATCTTATTTCATATATATCATATATAATATATTTAATAGAAGTTAGCAGTCAGGAAATTTTTGAATAAAAACACATGTATATTTTCATTAGACATTATTATTATTTGTAGAAAAAAGCAAAAATTCATAGAATAGGTAATACAGCGATTGCTGTACGTGGAACATAATTCGCTGACGGTATTACATATTTTATTATGTAATACGCTATACATAAATAGAAAATGTGCACAACAGATGGATCAATTTATACTTCGATTATCATTCGATACATCCTTTTTACCAACGCATGTAAATATGTGAGTTTTAACTCCGTAAAAAATGTAAGTTCTATAATCTCTTTAAGTTACATTTCAACACGAGTTACAATTAGCTTATACATACAATCCAATATCAGCGTGATATACCCAGACATGTCTAAAAGACATCTTTTAGGTATCTCTTAGACGTATATATCTAAAAGATGTTTTTTAGATATACTACATTCTGTAACTGTATCTTATTCACGCTCAAGCGAGGATTTCAAACAATAATTTACACGTTTTTAGAAGCTACTTTTGAAGCACCTGTGTGGAGTTGTGCACGCGCCGCCTTCAGCTTTGGTACTAGCCTCCTTATTCCTGAAGTTTGTATACCCTTGTGCAGACTATGTCATCGACCTTCATGATCTACAACAGAAATAGCATATAACGCCAGTTAATATTTGACGATGATAGAGCTCTCCGGCGTAACGGTAATCTCTTGGAATTATTAATAGCAGTTAGTTTCTGTAAGTAGAAGAGCGAAAGAGTGGGAATTATCCCCGTGCCGGTGTCTCACGGTATTAACACGTATCGCCAGACGGATCAATGGATCTTTATTGGCACCGTTTCGGAGCTCGGTACTGTAGAATTGTGCGTGTCACGAACAGGAGGAGCGCACGCGATAATTGGCCGGACATTTGACGAATCATTATAACATTAGCCGCTCGTGCAACGCTCCCTCGTCACGTTCCTCCACGTATAGCTTTTGTACTTTAATTAGCAACTCCTGCGCCCGCATCACTGTGACACGAATCAAAGTTCAAGTTGTTCAGAGAGGAAGGATGCACGCACACGAGTGACAAATGCATTTTCCACCACGATTAACCACGTCATTCCCATAACTCGTGTTTTGTTGCATATCATCATTCTTATAACTCATGTTCTATTACATATCATTCGAGTTCGCAAGTTGAGTAAGGTTTTTAAAGTGCCGCACGTGAAAATAATGAAAATTGCTCTCGATTTAAAGAAAAAATATAATCATAAGAGAGAAAACAATTCTTCTCAGGATACCTATTTTCGTAATTGTTAATGCAATTAAAATATATGTACGTTTAAAATCTTGAAAAAAATTCTCAAAATATCATAATATTTTTCATATAAGAATTCTTTATATTTTAAATTGATAACAATTTCTAATAAATACCTTAAATTTCTTCAAACTATAAATGTTTTTCGGAAATGATAGAATCTTAATATATGTCAGAATTTATATGCATTTAGAAAAGGTGTAAATTTTTTTGATATTTCTGTTTCGTTTTATATATAAAAAGTAAGTAAAGAAATTTTTTAAAAAGATATACAAAAATTTTGAAAAATTTTGAAATTTATATAGAAATCCTAAAAAATTATATAAAAAATTCTAAAAACAATTTTCTCTAGAGTATTACTGTAAATTCGACGTATATACAAGTATTAATGATGTTTCCATAAGCATTCTCAAGAAACAGACACTAGTTTATTAGTCCATAACCGGATCTCGCGCATTTATCACATAAGACAAGTATAAGGAAACATGAAATATTTTTTGCTTAGTGTTTACGCGACTGAAGGTCAACATTACCTTGCTGCTAACTTTTAATAGCGTTAATAATAAATAGCGACGTAGTTTAATCGAAAAGATATATTGATTTATGGACAAAATATTGACACAAAATCGACTTAATCGCGTCGCGAATGAATTAAACTATTTATTAATAAAACTTGTAAAAAATATATATATATTTGCTCCAAGAAACATAATAACATTTATAAATTATATTTGCAGTGAATCCAAAAAGTATTCATATGTAAGATTCTCATTAAAAAAATCTTATATTTGTAGAAAATAGACATTAATTAGCAACTTATCAACAATAAGTACGTTTTAATCTAATATAAACAAAAAGAATTTTACAAAAATAATTTAGAACTTAAAGTCTCGACTGTATGAATATTTTTGGTATCCAAATAATATCATATTTCATTTTCACTTATTACTGAGATATATTTTAATTATTGCACACATAATTTTAGGTGAAATAATTTTGAGAAATATACAATCTATTTATTCTTTGTTAATAAATTGCTAATTATTAATTAATATTTACTCTCTAAAAATAAGATTTTTTCAAAAGATATTTCTCCTACTTTTTGAATCCATTATAACATATAAATCATATAAATATTTTATTTTAATCATCTCTATTGCAAGTGACGCGTGCATTGTTCGTGAAAAAAAATTAATTCTAATAATCTTCTAAAATCTCTTACCGCCTTCATCTCCGTAGGCCCGAATTCCCTCTCGATCGTAGTACCCTTCTCGCCTTTTTGCACCTGTACGAGTTTGTTACCCTCCAGAGTACAGATGCTCTTCACCTTCCTGCCGTCTACGGTCTCCTCGTCAAACTCTTCATCAAGTTTGAACTTTATTTCGGTATTTTTGAAAGCGCTGGATGTCTTCAGAGTGTACACTCCGTCTTTCTCCGTCAATTCGACGACGGGACTGACGCTGCTACCCATTTTGCGCGTCACCATACCCACGCCTGAAAGAAGAGCATAAGCTGCTTTAAAATCACGTACACTTCTCATCAGTTCTATGAAATCCTAATCTATCGGATGTATTTATATAGATGGCTCATCGCGGAATATTAATAATTATTTAATTTAATAATTATTCTCGCGAAAGCGTTCACACTTCGCAATCTAATTGCGAGCTATCATTAAAAGAGAAAAAATTCAAGACATCTATTCTAGGCCAAAAAATTGGAAATTGGTTTCTTAAAAATTGAAATTTTTAAATGGGAGTTTAAGCATTGACTTTTGGAAGCCTTAGTAAAAAAATATTAGGCACTTATATTTTTTTGTTCATCTGAAATTATTTTATCCATACAAATGTTATACTGACTACTAGAATTGTACAAAGTTATAAGGTATAAAACATTCAAAAATATCAACTTTTAAGAAGTCTTTCCAAACTTCTGGCTTGGAATGTGCTCTTTCTCTATATGCTTGCAAGTTCATGAGTTGCTATTTAAATTTACTAATAGATTGAACATAAGTAGCTTAAACAAATATAAAGATAAAATCATATAGCGATTAGGAATGGCTCGATCAGGATAACTTTTAAATTACATGTCTATTAAACTCCACTCGAAGTTAAATGGCAAAATGAATATTTATCTGCCAGCTGATAAAATTTTTCAAAGCTTATCTCCCAGGAAGCACTTCGTTTCCTACCGATAAAAGGTCGACCATCGAGTTCTTGATATTCTTTCAAAGAAAGCAATTCCTCGTAAAGACTATGCAAAGAAAAAATACATAAATACACGCATTTGCCGATCTATGTCACATGCATTTGTCGATCTATGTCAATAGACCAGGGATCGATTTTTTCTTCGAAAACCGGTTTTACGTGCTCGTCTCACCTAAAGCTTTCATGTATTCGTCAAACTTTTCACTAGATTGGAGTTTGTAACGCTTGCCCAAGATACCGGTTAATATCTCTGACGACATGGTTCGATCTATCACCGACGACTGCGAGAATAAAACTGACTCACAGCTCGACTGGTTTATATGCCTTATGCTCGTTTCTGCGATTGATTAGACTTTATATCGTAGGTAAGTTTATCATAGTGCGGAACTCTGTTCCGCGTTGAAAACCGACGAGAAGTAAACTTTGAAGTTTGACCCACCGATCGCGCTATTTATAAACTTCATAAATTATCATGAGTGATATTACGTGAGCGTATGTGAGCGTATATTATGATACATGATCGCTTTGACATTCAAGAAGCACTTAATAGATTCCCAAAGTAGAAATCTTTTTGCGATGATAAATATCAACTCTCGTTTTCAACATAATTTAACTAAAACTTTCGAAAGTATCTGATGCGTCAATCGCTAACGGGAAATACATCACGTTCATCCGTGAAATGTCCGCGTTTATTTATCATCTTGGGGTGATGTAATGCTCATTAATATTGATTAACAAATTCGCAATTAGTCATGATTCTTTTTGCTGTTGGAAAGGCGATTATCTGCTGTTCGCGAAATCGATGAAATAATGATCGCCCAATTTATGCCCATTTTTATCACTGTTAGATTAACATTAACGGTTCAAATCACTCTTCACCTTTCTCTATTTCTTAAAACCAGAAAAAGATGAAGTGAATTGAAGTTGAAAAATTGGAGAAATCGAGATTAAAGTGTTAATCTATATTGATAATATACAAAATAGATTCTATTCTTCCATCTGCTAATGTGGATTTTTTTTTGGCACATTGAAAAAAAGTGCACTGAGAAAAATTTCGAATTAAAAATGAAAGAATCCGAAGATTTCTGATCATATCAAGAATTTGGTTATCTCAACTAGAATTATAGTGGATTTAACCAGAAAATTCCGATTCGTTTTTCAACCAGAATTCCAATTAATACAATCAGAAACTCTTTTTCCAATGTGATAATATAGCTATCAAATGTTGAGTGAAATAATTTCAATTAAGTATTCGTTTATATATGTATAACCAAAATAATTTTACTTTTCTATTTAGTAAATATTACTAAACATAATAATATAACCAATCATTTGATGATAA